GGCGTGCTGGGGGGGGCGCCGGTGCGCAAGCCCACTTTCCGGGCGACCCCGAGGGGGAGGAGGCCGGGCGAGTGGCAGCAATTCACTGTTAGTGTCCCGGGCCGCTGCGGTACCGTTTATACGGCCCCTCGTGACGTCTTTCCGATTTTGCATTGTGAGTCGTCCTCTGGCCAGCCGAGGGGCACCAGAACGGCATGTGTACTGGTGCTGGGTGCGGGTGCGGAACGGGCTTTTTTAAACTCGCAACCAAGCATACTATACAAGGACACCCTCGGGGGGGACACTCGGCGCATGTGCGACGCGTCAGGGTGGAGTTGGCGGTGGCCGAGCGTCGTCTCCAGATCGACTCGCAGCGCGGAGTCGAGGGGTGAAGCGCGTCGCGCTGCGACACTCGAGAGCCGGCTGGATGGCCGTAGGGCGCAGCCGACTTTGATGTCCTCGAAGGTCCGGTGCGCATTCGTCCTCTGAGACCCACGCGTACAGGAAAGGGGCGAGAACGAGGCCTTTTGAGGCGGACATTTTGGGGCGCGCATCCGCAAGCGCGTTCCACACAGTGCCCAAGGGAGGGAAGAGGACGGCACGACGCCACACCCTGTGTGTTACTCAGGCAGGCAGTTGTCTTTCTCTATCTCTGATTGTGGGAGAATGCGTGCAATGTGGGAGATGCGTGCAAGCGGATGTGCGCCAAATAATTTCCACCTGCAGTAAAATAGATTACTCGGCCAAAACTCGCGCGTCCCATCGGCCAGAACGAAGGGTATCCCCACGTGCTGCCGCTATGCGCGGCGCCCCTGGCATCTGAGAGCGCTGCCTGCGACCTCGCCTCAAAGGTCTTCCGCGACCCTCACATAAACTTTGCGTATGGAGGCTCCGCCGACCTCCGCGGCCGTCCCAACGCGCTCTACAACTTTCTGTCTGCGCCGGGCCTTTCAGTCAGCGTGAAGACGGAGGAGGCCGTGTTCAAGATCCACGATGGAGCACTCACAATCAACGGCTCCTTTCTCACCGAGGCGCACGTGATTGCGCGCTTCGCTCCCCAGAGAAGCTCGGCCGCCTCATTTTGGGCGTCAGAACTCGACCAGAGCAACTCTGGCTGGACAGTGATCAATGGAACGTGCGTCGGTCGCCCCTTCAAGTTTGGGAACCGCGGTCGCAAGGAATGCTTTGATCTAAAAATGTCGATGGGCTACTCGAGCGCCACCTTCGCATTCCGCAACTGGACGGTAAAGGTGCATGGAATGCGTTCCGTCCCACGCGCGGAGGATCACATCGCCGGCCCAAAGCACCGTCTGGACATTGGATTCTCCGCGCGAGGCGACGCTCCATCTCGAGACAGGCCGCACGGCATCATCGGACAGTCCTATGCCACGCCAGGGCTCGTGCGGCACGGCAACGAGGACAAGTACCCGTGGGCTGGCCACTATACCACCAGCGCCCAGGCGGAGGGCGCCATCGAGGGCACGGTGTCGGATTACGAGGTGGCGAGCGTCCACGCGACCGAGTTTGCATTTTCGAGGTTCAACGCCGCAAAGGACGAACCCGCATCACGTGACAGCGCGAATACCAACGTGGTGGTGGACGCGTCGTCGATCGATCGCGTTGCGGACCCCGTCGCCGAGCCGGAGCGCCGGCGACTCTCCGAGGCGCCCTGCCCTCCCCCATCTGCCGGCAGCGCACAGCTGCCACCCCCAGCGCCTACCGACGCAGACAGCGACGGTACTCTCGACGCCGAGGAGGGCACTGTCGACACGGACAGCGACGGCATCCCCGATCAGCTCGAGTCGAACGTCGACGACGCAGACAGCGACGGCGCGACCGACAACGCCGACCCCGACTCGGACGGCAACGGCATCCCCGACGCTGTCGAGGGCACCCCGTCGGGGTTGGGTGGGTGGTACACCGCGTGGACCAGTATAAATACGTGCAACCAGGTCTGCGCTCAACACAACCTGGTTTGCCCAGGCCCGGAAGGAACCGGAAAGGAAGGCGACACCTTCAAGGACTATTGGTGGCGGTCCCTGATAGACACCGAAGCCGAGGCCGAACAGATCTACAAGTCCACCGGGTTCAGTTGCAATTCGTACAAACCGGCTCCAACCCCAAGCAAGACGTTGGTCCAGGAGGGCGGCGAGTGCTACTACCTTACTGATGCTCACGACGATTCGCCCTATCTGTGCAACGTTGTCAGCGGCAACCCCAGACACCTCAGACTGTGCTGGTGCGAGCCGGCGCCGGCGCCGCCCTCGACGCCGCCGGGCGGCTGGTACACTTGTTCGCCTCCCACCTGCGATAATCATGACTGCAACTCGGTCTGCGCGAACAAGGGTCTGCGTTGCCCAGGACCAGCCAGCTGGGGGGGGACCGGAAAGGAAGGCGAGACGTTCCAGGACTACTGGTGGTGGGCTCAGATTGACACCGAAGCCGAGGCCGCAGCGATCTTCGAGGCCAGGGGCCACACTTGCGCCAGCTACGTTTCGTCTGGCTCGGGAATTGAAGGACAGAGTTTTGTCAGGGACACCAAGGTGGCACAAGACCGTTGCCAGAGCGTGTACGATCTTCAGACTGACAGGATGAAGCTGCAGTGCCCGTGCCATTACCCTGGGGCGGAACATGGCAGTTCATCATACCAGTGCAATGCAAAGAGCAAGTACGGCATACCACTGTGCTGGTGCGATGGGAGCCGCCCTCGAGCCAGCGGGTGTGCCATCGCACCTGTCGGCGATTCAGATCCAGAGTGGTCCTCATCCGGGAGCTCCGCAAACCCTACTGACTGGCCGGAGTGTGCAGGTAAGTAATTGCGCACGTGTCGTCTCCTGTCTGTGGCCCTCCTCGCTGCGTCTGGGTCTCTCTCTACTCTGAGAGCGTGGCTGTCAGGCTGTCAGGCTGTCAGACCAGGACTCAGGTCTCTGGGTTCGTCGTCCCCATGTCTCGTCGAGTCCCATCGTCGATCATTGTCCCGGCTTGTGACGAGACATCACATCGATATTAAACTCATATGTGGGGATATTAAATATCATAACGAATTTTAAATTTAACACGCGCGGGCGGAGCGCGGGAGCCGGGACGGAGTCGGAGCGGACCGCGAGGCGAGTGGACACAGACACGACACCACACGTCACGTACTGATGAGTGTAAAATTCTTTCTGAGAGCGCCTTCGTTGCTAATAATACGAACAAGCTCCTCTTGTAGCTCGATCGGTCACACCGCCACCACCGCCGACGTCTCCCAGTGAGATGATGGAGAGGGGGGACGACACTGCTCGATCTACCCTCTGGGGTCCCTCAGCAGCGTGCACCTCGATCCTGTACCGTGTTTGTTATGACCCCCCCCAATGAACACACCAGTGAGGGAGGGCGAGACGATCGAGGGGTCCCGTACCATGCGGAATCGACCCTCTCCAGTGCTCAAGTGCTCAATAATATAAAATAATGATTCCTCGGTCTTTCGATTGTAAAATTCTTTCTTGCTGAAACGCGCGCCGCCGTGTCGCTGTCGACCCGCGCATACGCGCTTGCGGGATTGGCGCGGCGGGTGATGTTATTGAGCAAGTGGACCGCTTGTCCCCTACATTCCCATGTCGAAGCGCAAGCAGCGGGACGCAGACGGCGAGGCGTCCACGACTGCGGACGACCCGTCATGCCGCATCTGCTTTGCTGGCGACGAGGATGGCCCTCTCGTGCAGCCATGCTCCTGTCGTGGGACCTCAAGTTGGGTGCACTCTGAATGCCTTGCGCAGTGGCGGCGAGCGAGCAGCAGACTCGATGCTGCCTACAGCTGCGGTCAGTGCAAAGCTCAATACCTTGATAGTCTCTCGGTAGAGCTGCTGCAGGACCGACTGCAGGCGCAGCGTGCAGAGAAGGGCGATCAGCACCAACGTACCATCGACACGATGAATCGACTCGGCATTGTGCTCAACGAGCAGGGCAGGTCGATGGAGGCAAGGAGTTTGCTGCGCGAGGCGCTTGCGGCGAAGCGCGCGACGCTTGGCGATCGGCACAAGGAAACCATAGTTGCCATGTGCAACCTTCTCTCGCTCATCGTGAGAAGGTTGATTCATCACGACGATGTGTATCGGCATGAGGCCGAGGTGCTTTGCGGCGAAGCGTTGCCAGCTTGCCGCGAGGTCTTCGGCGAGCGAGACTCCAACACCTTGCAAGCGATGCATTTGCAAGCGGCCCTTCTGACCAGCTCTGATCCTGAGGGCGCCATTGAGCTGCATCGTGAGCTGGTCCGGCTGAAGCGTGATACACTCGGCGCCCGAGACAACGACACGCTCTCAACCATGAACAACCTGGCGTCACTGCTGAGCAAGCAAGGCGATGTGGAAGGCGCACGAGGGCTGTGGCAAGAGGTGCTGAGCGTGAGGCGTCAGACGATCGGCGGCCGGCACCCAGACACGCTCACTACGATGTCGAATTTGGCGTTTGCGCTCAAGGAGCAGAATGACCTGTCTGGCGCCGTGCAGATGAAGCGCGAGGTACTGTCGCTGAAGCGCGAGTGTCTGGGCGGCGAGCACCCTGACACCGCCGATGAGATGGCCGTCCTTGGCATGTGGCTTAAGGAGCTGGGCGAGTCAGCGGAAGCACTGGCGCTGCTGCGTGAGTTCCGCAGACTGACAACTCGAAACACTTCAGTGCTTAGCGGAATCATTCGCGAGCTAGAGGCACTCGTGGCTGCGAGTGCGACCGCGCGCGCAGCGATCTCGGGCCTGCAGCCATGATGCGAGCCGTGAGCGAAGAGATCGGCCGCGGATGATCGAGTACTCGATACCTGCGCAGGCCTCGAGTATGCGTGTAGCGCGCCATAAAGCGCGAGCCGAGCGCTCGGAGGTCGGAGGATCGGAGGATCAGAGGATCGGTGTCGACTCGTGTGACGGGAGATGGCTGGCTTGAGCGGAGTGGTGTGAGTGGAGTAACACATCCCCGCACACCTTGTGACGGTGCCCTGGCAAAATCGTCCCGATTTCGATGCGCGATTTAGCTAAGTCCCAGAGCCGTTTACGCATGAGCGGGCCCCCTCACCAGCCTAGGGCTCGCGCTTCTGGCCCGAGGTGTCGCCGCTGCCTCCCGCGCCCTCCGGCGCCTGCTGCTACTGCCGGTCGGCCGGTCGGGTCCGCGTGACGGCTCCATCCTCGAGACGTAGCGGTCGCTGAGCGCTTTCTCGACCGCTACGTCTTCCAGTGCACCCACCCACCGCGACCCTCGAACCTGCGCTGCGCGGCGCAGTTGCTGCCGAGCGAGACGCCCCCGCCCGCGCAGGGGCGGCATCACCAGACGCTACCGCATGGCCGAGCAGCGAGCAGTGTGTGCCGCAGTGCCCGTCCGGGCCCTCTTGCAGCTGCCTCTATTGGGCGTAAACCGCGGATATAAGGGTCTATACGGAGGTGGGTGGCCTCTTAGAGGTATGGGAGCCGCTGGCACCGCGCTGGGCGCCGCGGATGCACGTACGAACGAACATTATGAAATCGGGACGATTTTGACCCAAAAATCACAAGGTGTCTCGGGAGTAATCGAAAGTCTTACAGTGTCGTGCGAGAGAGTTTCGATTTTACTGACGTAGGAGGGGGCCGGAGCCGCGGAGGAAAAAGAGTTCTCACAGTACTCGAGTAAGCTAAGGGGCTGTAAGGCTCGCGGCTATATGGGTGCTTGGGTGGAGGAACTAAAGCAGTCTCGCTCCCGATACGTGCATCACTTGTGCGCCGGTGCCGCCGGCACGATAACTACGACGCAGCACCGTTCATGCCCGCCTGCGCTAAGCTCCGCTTGCTTCGCCGGACGGGGCCCGCCGACTCAGCTCCCGCCGCAACCGCAGCTGCCACCATTCCCTCTTCCGCGACCACCGCCTCCTCGCCTGCGCCTGCTGCCGCCTCGCCCGGCAGTGCCGCCGACGCGTGGCCTGCTGGCGAGCCCGCTTCCGGCGCCTCCCCGACCGACCGCGCATAGGCCACCGCCGCCTCCACCGCCGTGTCGAAGTAGCCGAGGGAGAGATATCCCGGCCCCCGCACCTCGAAGCGGCCAGAGTGGTGCTCGTACACGCCCTTGTAGCCAGTGCTGCCGCTGCTCGAGAGGTGCAGCCGCAGCCCCTCCGCCTCCGCCGCCACCGTCGGAGGAGGGGGAGGCTGGTACTCGCCGACCGCCCGCGCGTACGCCACCGCCGCCTCCACCGCCGTATCGAAACTGCCAAGGTGGACCTTCCTCTTTCCGGCCATATAGTGCAGCGCTTCGAAGCGGCCAACCTTCTTGGTGCTCTTGCGCACGTTCCTGTAGCCGGTGACGCTGCTGCTCGAGAGGTGCAAACGCAGCCCCTCCGCCTCTGACGGCGGCGACGAAGTAGCGCCTGCTGAGCCCTCCACCTCCGCCTCCTCCGCCTCCTCCACCCCCTCCGCCTCCGTGCCCTCCGCCGCCCCAGCCTCCGTCGCCGTCCGGTCTGATCCTCCCGCCCTTCCCGCCTGCGCCCGCGCGTACGCCACCGCCGCCTCCACCGCCGTGTCGAAAAAGCCGAGGGCGACCTGCCGCCCGTTCGCCATGTGCCGGGCGCCCCGCACCTCGAAGCGGCCAGAGTGGTGCTCGTACACGCCCTTGTAGCCGGTGCTGCTGCTGCTCGAGAGGTGCAGCCGCAGCCCCTCCGCCTCCGTCGCCACCGTCGGAGGAGGCGGAGGCTGGTACTCGCCGACCGCCCGCGCGTACGCCACCGCCGCCTCCACCGCCGTGTCGAAATAGCCAAGGACGACCTGCCGCCCGTTCGCCGTGAGCTTCGCCTCGAAGCGGCCATAGTGCTCGCGCACTCCCTTGTAGCCGGTGGCGCTGCTGCTGGAGAGGTGCAGCTTCAGCCCCTCCGCCTCCGCCACGACCGCCTCCGCCTCGAGCGGCGCGGCGACGGGTGCAGCCCCCTCTGGCGTCGCATCGGGCTCCGCCTCCGCCTCCGCCTCCATCGCCTCCGCGCCCTCCTCCGAGCCCTCCGCCGCCTCCGCCGCCTCCGCCGCCGCTGCGGCCCGCGCCGGCCCTCCCGCGCCAGCCGCCTCCGCCTCGCCGACCGCCCGCGCGTACGCCACCGCCGCCTCGACCGCCGTGTCGAAGATGCCGATGGAGACCTTCTTTCCGTTCGCCGCGTGCCGTACCTGGAAGCGGCCAGAGTGGTGCTCGTGCACGCCCAAGTAGCCGGTGACGCTGCTGCTCGAGAGGTGCAGCCGCAACCCCTCCGCCTCTGTCGCCACTGTCGGAGGCGGAGGCTGGTACTCGCCGACCGCCCGCGCGTACGCCACCGCCGCCTCCACTGCCGTGTCGAAGGAGCCGATGAAGACCCTCCTTCCGTCCACACTGTGCTTCGCCTGGAAGCGGCCAGAGTGGTGCTGGTTCACGCCCCTGTAGCCGGTGCTGCCGCTGCTCGAGAGGTGCAGCTTCAGCCCCTCCGCCTCTGCCACGACCGCCTCCGCCGCGAACGGCGCAGCCTCCCCTGGTGTCGGCGGCGACGAGGTAGCGCCTGCTGAGCCCTCCGCCTCCACCTCCTCCAACCCCTCCGCCTCCGTGCCCTCCGCCGCCCCAGCCTCCGTCGCCGTCCGCTCTGATCCTCCCGCCCTTCCCGCCTGCGCCCGCGCGTACGCCACCGCCGCCTCCACCGCCGTGTCGAAGTAGCCGAGGGAGACCCTCCTTCCGTCCACACTGTGCTTCGCCCGAAAGCGGCCAAAGTGCTCGTGCACGCCCCTGTAGCCGGTCCTGCCGCTGCTCGAGAGGTGCAGCCGCAGCCCCTCCGCCTCTGACGGCGGCGACGAGGTAGCGCCTGCTGAGCCCTCCGCCTCCGCCTCCTCCGCCTCCTCCACCCCCTCGGCCTCCGTGCCCTCCGCCGCCCCAGCCTCCGTCGTCGTCCGCTCTGATCCTCCCGCCCTTCCCGCCTGCGCCCGCGCGTACGCCACCGCCGCCTCCACCGCCGTGTCGAAGGAGCCGATGAATGCTAACCTTCCTTCCGCCTTGTGCCGCGCGACGAAACGGCCGGGCGCGACCTTGTACACGCCCCTGTAGCCGGTGCTGCCGCTGCTCGAGAGGTGCAGCTTCAGCCCCTCCGCCTCCGCCACGACCGCCTCCGCCGCGAACGGCGCGGCTGCGGGTGCAGTCTCCCCTGGCGTCGCATCGGGCTCCGCCTCCGCCTCCGCCTCCATCGCCTCCATCGCCTCCGCGCCCTCCTCCGAGCCCTCCGCCGCCTCCGCCGCCTCCGCCGCCGCTGCGGCCCGCGCCGGCCCTCCCGCGCCAGCCGCCTCCGCCTCGCCGACCGCCCGCGCGTACGCCACCGCCGCCTCCACCGCCGTGTCGAAGGAGCCGATGGAGACCTTCTTTCCGTTCACACTTTGCTTCGCCTGGAAGCGGCCAGAGCGATTGGACACGCCCTTGTACCCGGTGGCGCTGCTGCTCGAGAGGTGCAAACGCAAGCCCTCCGCCTCTGTCGCCACTGTCGGAGGCGGAGGCTGGTACTCGCCGACCGCCCGCGCGTACGCCACCGCCGCCTCCACCGCCGTGGCGAAGCAGCCGAGGGCGACCTGCCGCCCGTTCGCCATGTGCCGCACCTCGAATCGGCCAGAGGGCTGCTCGCGCACTCCTCTGTAGCCGGTGCTGCCGCTGCTCGAGAGGTGCAGCTTCAGCCCCTCCGCCTCCGCCACGACCGCCTCCGCCGCGAACGGCGCGGCTGCGGCGACGGGTGCAGCCCCCCCTGGCGTCGGCGGTGCGGTCGGAGGCGGCGACGAGGTTGAGCCTGCGGCCTCCGCCTCCTCCGCCTCCGCCTCGGGCTCCGTGCAGCCCGCCGCTACCTGCGCCGCGCCCTGCGCAGCCGAGGTGCGACGACGCTTCGGTGGCCGCCTCGGCTGCCCCGCCGCCGCCGCCTCCGACCCCGCCTCCGCCGCCGCATCGGGCTCCGCCTCCGCCTCCATCGCCTCCATCGCCTCCGCGCCCTCCTCCGAGCCCTCCGCCGCCTCCGCCGCCTCCGCCGCCGCTGCGGCCCGCGCCGGCCCTCCCGCGCCAGCCGCCTCCGCCTCGCCGACCGCCCACGCGCGTCCACCCGCCGCCTCCGCCGCCGCCCTGGCCCTGCCCGCACGGATGGCGAAGCGCCGCAGCGCCTCGAGCAGCTCCTCCTCCTCCTAAGCGAGGGTAGGCGAGGGGAGGATGAGGACAGCGCCGGTCGCTCGCGGGCAAGTTCGACCCGAGAAGGCGATGCAGAGAGCGGCGCTGCGGGTGGCATGCGAAATGTGGGTAGATCGCACCAGATCCTCTTCGTCCCCGTCCGCATGTTCGATGTGCCAAAACGCCGGCTCGTCCTCCGCATCGCCCGCCGGCAGGTAGAGGCGCACCACCGCATGCACGTAGCCGTGTCCCTTCAGGCGTCGCAGCACCCGCTCACCGACATGAGGCCCCTCGCTGAGCCAGCCAACTTCGACCCGCGGCGCAGGCGCGGGCTCGGCAACCTCGGGAACAGGAGGCACAAGCTCGGAGAGCTGGATGCGGCCGCTGCCGCTGCCGCTGCCGCTGCCGCTGTGTGGCTGCGCTCCAGATGCGCTCCGCGCAGTACTTTTTCTCGGCCAAGCCCAGCGGCAAACGTGGCCGCGCTTCTTCACGCCGCAGTAGGGACAGAGCGACCTGTCTGGGTGCAGCCCGTTCGTCTCGGCGTGGTGGCGGAAGGACAACGGACTCATCACAGCATATACACATGTCAACTGTCGCGCGGTGGGGCGCGCCTCGGTTTTCGTGAAATTCGTCTTCGTGAAATTCTTTTCAGAGCGCCTTCGTTGTTAATTGTTAATAATACAAACCCAATGGTCCCTTGCGAGCGGTCCTTCGTCGCAGTCGCACACACGCACACGCCACACCCACCGCGCGCCCGCCCACTGCCCCGCCCAGGCGGGAAAGAGATGAGGAGATCGGACAGCGAACCTAGATGTTAAGTCTGTATTTTGATTTTTGTGTATTTGGACTTGGGCTGAAAACTCAGTGTATTTTTCTTGCATTTTTGCTCCCTGCTACGAGTACCTGAGCGAGTTGTTGTGAAATTCCTTTGGCGCCATTGGTCGCGACCATGCGCAAGAAAAAAATCTGCAAAGGGGGGAGTGTGCGAACGAGAGAGTACACCCCAGGAGTGTACTCCAGACTCACCCCTATCCTCTGGCAGCTCACGGTCACGCACAGCCGATATGTGCTGAGTTCGCTCGTTGACCTGTCCCCCGCCGCCGCGCACGCACCTTGCTACACATGTACCTGCCCCATGTTCGACCTCCGGCACGCCGAAGAGGCGGCCCGCGACGGCCATTGCATGCACGACCGCCCGCGTCCCCCGACCCTCCCCCGCTTTCCTGCAGAGTCCACATGTGCATGCCCCGACGTCCCCTCGCAAGCCCCGACCCGCCCGTCCCCTTGCGAGCCCCACTCCCGAGACTTGGTACGCCGCCACGCGTCTACCCCCCGGCGGCGCTGCCTGCTCGCCTCGGTCGGTCAGCCCGCACGTACAGCCCGCCATGCGGCACGCGCCAGTGCAGCCCGCCATGCGGCACGCGCCAGTGCAGCCCGCCATGCGGCACGCGCCAGTGCAGCGCTAGTTGGCGGTCACGTTCTCGCTCCTTGCCGCGTCGACGAGCCTCGCCGCCATCCGCGGCGTCGCCTTGCCGTTCCGCTGGAGCCGCCGCTTGGTGTTGCCGCCTGGCGAGCGGCGGCGGCAGCGGGTGGTCGGAGGGGGTGTGGTGGTGTGGTGGTGTGGTGGTGGTGGTGGTGGTTGGGGGGGGGGGGGGGGGGGGGCACCGTGTGCGGGCCTCGCCCTCGGCGGGCAACCTCGGGAGATGGCATCTCGTGCGATCTCGGCTGGTCTGTCGTGACATTCTCTCGGCGAGTGTCGCGCGCACCCTTGTCGGCGGTCTTGTCGGGCGAGAGCTCCGCCGCAGCCTCTCCGTGGCCGAGGCTGCGCCGCCCGTCGGGCGCGGAGAGGGAGGGCGGGGCCGAGTCGCCCATCGCGGCGGCGTAGGCGGCGAGGATCGCCTCCGCCTACCTCGGGTGATCTCGGTGTAACCTCGGTGTATCTCGGGCGTATCTCGGGCAGCCAATCGGCGCGGCGAGGTCTCGCCTCCGCCTCCGCCCGCGAGACTGCCTCCTCGTCCGCCAGCCCCCCCGCCGCCTCGACCCTCTCCCGCAGCTTCTGGACGTGCTTGAGGGCGGTGCGGTCGGTCATGGCCATCGCCTAGACAGAGAGAGAGAGAGAGACGAATCAAGAAGAAGAAAACGGCCCACCCCGGGGCGGGGCGCCGGCCATCACCAGCTTGCGGAGGAGCGCCGCCAGCGGCGCGCGGGCGCGCCACGCCCCCTCCGCCGGGAGGGCGAGGTGCGGGAAGGCGCGTGGCAGGAGGAGGCCGGACCCTGCGGCGCGAGCAGAGTCAGGTCACGCCCGCATTCAGGGAGGGACTGCGAGCAGTCAGGGAGGGGCTGTGACGGCGGCGGGTGCATGCAGCATGGAACCCCCCGAGGACGAGGGGGGAGGACTGCAGGAGCGTCTCTGGCATCTAACTCCCCCTTGCCGGCGGGCGCACGCAGCGTCTCGCAGCAGAGGCCGAGGGCGGCGCCCTCGTGCGCCGCCGCCGCCTCGCCCGCCGCCTCGCCGGCCGCCTCGGCGGCTCCGTCGCCCTTGTCGCCCGCGGCGGGCCGCGTGAGCGCGAGCACGAACGAGGCGAGCGACTCGACAGGCACGGACGCCTCTGGTGCGCCGGCAGGCGCGGAGAGGGCGGTCCGCAGCGCGGGGAGGAGCGCCTACGCCTCGGCCGATCTCGGCTCATCTCGGCCGATCTCGCCGCGGAGAGGGCGGCTGCGCAGCGTCTCTGTCTCGCGCCGATCCGAGCAGCGCGGGCGGGGCGGAGGCGAAGAAGACGGAGAGGAACTGCCTCGGGTCGCTCAGCAGCTCGAGCGCTTGCTTGCCAACCACCTCGAGCAGCCCCGCCTCGGCGAGCGGCTCTGCGCGCGCCGCCGCGTGCTCCGCCTGCAGTCTTGGCAGGTTGGTCACGCGCGCAGCGAAGAGCGAGCCTCGCGTGCATACGGGGGGGCACGAAAGCAAGGCCCAGGGAGGGCGTGGTCACGGGTGTGTGTGTGTGTGTGTGTGTGTGTGTGTGTGTGTGTGTGTGTGTGTGTGTGTGTGTGTGTGCTGGCATACCCGGGGCGTGCGCGGCGTGCGTGGCCGCATCTAGGTAGCTCCGCCTGGAAGTAGAAGACCAGCAGGCGCGCGACCAGCGCGGAGGAGGCGACGCGACCTGTGTGCTCGAGAGGAGCCGAGCTGAGCCAAGCTGAGCCGAGCTAAGCCGAGCTGAGCCGAGATCGTGCCGAGATCGTGCCGAGATCGTGCCGAGATCGTGCTCGAGGGCGACGCGGCGCCGGTGTGCAGGAGGCGGCAGGCGGCGAGCGCCGCAGAGGCGGAGAGGAGCGCGTCGCTCGAGCGGAGCGCCGGCCCGAGAAGGTCGAGGAGCGCACCGGCGCAGTCGTCCTCGGTGGGCGGCAGCGGCGCGCCGGCGGGCGGCGGCTCGGGCGCGGCGGAGGGCGGGAGGAGGGCGGCGGGGGAGTGGACGAGGAGGAGGTCGGCACAGGCGCCTGCAGGACGCTTCCGAGACACTTCCGAGACCGCTCCGAGAGAGGCGGAGGCAGGAGGCTTGCGCAAGCGCCGAGGGCGGCGAGCTGCACGGGGAGCTGGTCGTGCGCCAGCGCCTTGACGAAGAGCGGCCACAGCTTGGCGGCCTGGGCGCCGTCGCTCAGCGCGCGCAGCCCGAGGCAGCGCAGGGCGAGCGCGCGCAGCTTGGGGCGCGGCGCGGCGAGCGCGGGAAGGAAGGTTGCGTCTGCGTGCAGGTCCATCTCGTGGCTCCCTATGGCACGGCTCCGGGAAGGTTCACGGAAGCGTCCCGCGTCTGCGTGCAGGCCCGGTTCCGAGCGCTCGGCTGATCTCGGCTGATCTCGGCTGATCTCGGCTAATCTCACCGAGCGCGAGGCCGGGCGTGCGCATGAGCAGCTCCGAGAGCCGGAGGCAGCGGGCGGTGCGAAGTGCGTCCTCGTCCTCAGGGGCGCGCCGCGAGGCAGGCAGCGCCGCCAGCTGCGCCGTCAGCGCGGCCGCCTCCTTTTGCAGCGCGGCGGCGGCGTCGAAGTCCTCCTCCTCGACGCGGCTCTTGACCTATGGGAGACGGACCGGGGAGGCGGTTCCCAGAGACGGCTGTCGGAGGGAGTCCTCCTCCTCCTCGGACAGGCCTCCGCGTGCAGCTCGACGAGCCGCGCCTGCGAGGGACGTGTCGCGGACGTGTCGCGGACGTGTCGCGAGCGTGTGGTGTGCGTGTGGTGTGCGTGTGGTGTGCGTGTGGTGCGTGTGGTGTGCGTGTGGTGTGCGTGTGGTGTGCGTGTGGTGTGCGTGTGGTGTGCGTGAGTGGTGTGCGTGAGTGGTGTGCGTGTGGTGTGCGTGTGGTGAGAGAGAGCTGCGCCTGCGCGAGCATCCGCTGCTGCTCGGCTTGCAGTCGCTCGTCTGCGCCGAGGGCGTCGGCCGACGACGGCCCCGCCTCGGCCGCCTCCTCCTCGAGCGGGTCGTCCACCTCCGAGATGAGCTCCTGCATGAGGCGCTGGAAGCGGCCGTCCTCGCCGCCGCACGCGGCGCGCAGAGCGGCGGCGAGGAGCGGCAGCAGCTCGTCGCCGATGGAGAGGGTCTTGAGGAGGGCGCAGAGGGCGGCCTCGAGCTCAGCGCGGCCGTACTCGTCTGCAAAGTCGAGCCGCGGGCAGAGCCGCAGCAGCTGGACCAGCGAGTAGTTTGCCTACCGGGGGGGTGGCGGTGGCGTGCAGCGGAGGGGAGGGTGTACGGTAGCAACGAAGGAGAGACAGCAGGCGACGAGAGCGCAGCGGATGCGAGTCCTCTCGAGCCCGGAAGACACGGCGCGTGGAACTCCCAATCTAGAGGAGCTCGCCTCCCGCATCTGTTTCCGCATCTAGAGTCGCTCGCCACACCCGATCCGCCCGCCTCCTCCGACGCCGCCGACGCGGTGCCGACAGCGGCCTGCAGCGCCTTGCAGAAGGGAGGCAGCTCCGGCAGCGCAGCGTCGCGAGCCTCCTCGTCGGCCGCCGTGCCGCCGTCCGCGGCGGCGACGAGCGCCTCGACCTTGCCGCAGCGGGGGGCGGGGAGGGTAGCGGAGGTGAGAGCAGCGGGGAGAGGGCGCGGGCGGTGAGAGGGTCACTGTGGTGTGTGTGTGTGTGTGTGTGTGTGTGTGTGTGTGTGTGTGTGTGTGTGTGTGTGTGTGTGTGTGTGTGTGTGTGTGTGTGTGTGTGTGTGTGTGTGTGAGTGTTTTGGGGGAGGGGGGGGGGGGGGTCCTGCATTGAAAGGGCGTGGGTGTGTGTGTGTGTGTGTGTGGGGAGGAGGGTGGGTGGGTGGGTGGGGGGGGGGGGCAGTGCGGAGGAGAGAGGCCGCAATGGAGAGAAGGAGAGCAGACAAGGCGCCGCCCGGGTGCCATCTCGGCTGCATCTCGGGGTGCGACCTCGCGGCGCAGGCAGAGCAGGAAGAGTCTAGGAAGAGTCTAGGAAGAGTCTAGGAAGAGTCTAGGAAAGGACCTCGCAGCGCAGGCAGAGCACCGCCTCTGGCGCGAGGGACGCCCAGTCGGCCGCCACGGAGCCGACGAGGCCTGCCGTCTCCTTGTCCTGCAGGAGCGCCGCCACGACCCGCTCGGCGGCTGTCTCGTACGAGGCGACGTCGAGCGCCTGGAGACGCGAGGGAGGTGCGGGGAGGGGTGCGGGGAGGGGTGCGGGGAGGGGTGCGGGGAGGGGTGCGGGGAGGGGTGCGGGAGATGCGAGGGAGATGCGAGAGAGATGCAGGGAGAGATATAGGGAGATGTGAGGGAAATTGCGGGGAGGTGTGAGCGCTCCTTGAGCAGCACCGGCAGTTGCCTGTCCGCCTTTCGCAGCCAGCCACGCACGAGCTCGACCGCCGCGGTCCGGACCTGCGTGCAAGGGGGGGCTATCAGGTGGCCGGCAGGTGGCCGGCACACCGAGAGTCGGAGGAGCGGAGAGTGGAGACACCGCCTCCAGAGAGCAGCTGCTTCCCGCATCTCCCGCGTCTAGAGCAGCGCACGGACGGCGAGGAAGCGTCTAGGAAGTGTCTCGGAACTGTCTTCCGCATCCAGAGCAGCGCACGGACGGCGAGCGGTCGGCAAGTGCATCTCCGAGGAGCTTGGCGCGCTGCGAGATTGTCAGCCAGCGCATCTCGACCTTCTCGCGGAGCACGCCGAGCGCGTGCTTGCGGACCGCCTATGGGACGGTCCCGAGCGGCCTCACGGACGCCTTCCGCGCGCAGCGCCTCTCGGAGCAGCTCTGCTGGGTGCCTCGGTCACGTCTCGCGTGCGGGAGAGGAGGCCGCGGATGGCGGGCTTGGAGGGGGCGACGGTCGAGATGGCCGCCATCCGCACCTCCGGACTCGAGTCGTGCTCCATCATCCGGAGCAGCTCACTTGAGATCGCGTCGGACGGCCCCGACGGGTCTTGCAGCCGGAACAGAGCGCGCAGCGCGCACGCGCGGACGACGGGGACCTTGTCGCGGCAGCGGCGGAGCATGCGCTCCTCGACCGCGACGAAGAGGTCGTCCGACACCTCCGCCTCCTCGGGCATCGCGTTCATGATCCGTCCCACCAGCTGGGAGACGCGGAAGCGGACGGCCTTGTCGCGTGCGTCCGACAGCCCGAGGAGCGGGAGGCAGATGCGGCCGATGAGCTCGTCCTGCTCGCCGGCATCGTCCTCACCAGCCTCGGTCAGGAAGCGCACCACGAATTCGACCACCCGCTCCGCCGCGGGCTCGCGCTTGAAGACGGGCAGCACACACGCGATGCACGCAAAGAGCGCTTCGGCAAACGCGCGGGCGTCGGCCTTGCGCTGCAGCGCGCGCAGCCGCTCCGCGCACCGCCGGTGCTTGGCGAGCGACTGCTGGGCGTCGTTGAAGATGGCCTCGATCTGAGGCTGGAGTGGTGCGGGTGGTGGCATGCTCGCCGGTGTTGTCGGTCTCAGTTTGAACAGCCTTCTGAGCAGCTCCGATTGCCGGCGATTTCTTTTGTTTTTGGTGCTAACTAAAAAAGAAAGAAAAACGGTATATCTTTGCGACGAATTTCTTTGCTGGACAGGCTCCATGCGCAAGAAGAAGCCCAAGCTTATCGCCGCGAGACCACCTGGGTTCCGGCTCCTACCGGATAGGCAACAAATCTCGCGCGCGCGTGAACAGGGCTCCAGGCCCCAAATGACGTGTGAGTGTTAGAGTTGTTTGGTATTGCTAAAAATCTCTCTCTCTCTCTCCGGATAGGGGGTCTGGATTGAAAACGCCCTCCTACCTACCTATCCCCAGGCCGCGCAGCGAAGCGAAAAAAGATGAAAAGAGCGGGGTACCTACCTATTGCAGGGCCCTTTTGGGCGAAACAAGACCAACCTACCTACCTATCTGGTGTTTTGAGCCGTTTAAAACGCCGCGAATTCTTTTTGCGGATGGTGGGCTATGGTGCGGATGGTGGGCTATGGCCGAGCAGTCAAACGCTCAGTTTTTCTTTTTCTTCCCCGGGTTTTCGTTTTTCTTCGCTGCCGGGCGCACGAGGGAGATTTTTTTGTTTGTTTGGCGCACGCCGGACGGACGGAACTTGCGCGGTGCTGTCGAATGCTGTGTGAAGTGAGGTGGCGGGCGGGTGGAGCAGCCTCTTCAAGAGCAAGGAGATTACATGTAATTCACAGGAAGAGCAGATCAGGCCTTTTGCAAAAGGCTACATTGTACGGGAAAGTAAACTCGTTCCCCCGGAGCTTGGACGCGTCCCATAGAGACGCACAGGCGGCTCCAGACGATCTGGAGCAACGACGAGGCCTCGAAGCATGACGATGGCAACCACGACAGGGGCGAGTGCCGGGGGCGCGAGGAACATGATGTGCGTCGATGGCAACACCTTTCGACGCGTACTCCTCGCGAGGGCAGCCTTCCGAGGTGTGGTCTTTGGAGGCCTGTTGTACCTCGGCGCCACCACGCTCGACCGCATCAAGCGCCTGGAAGACTCGAATGCTGCCATGGCGCTCAAGCTGGACACGGTCAACAAGGAAGTCGTGGCCGCCAACTAACCGCATTGACTTCCCACAGAAGCTCAAGCCAGGAGTGCCCGTCTAGTGCCAGCAGACTCTGTGCGAGCCCGTAAGACTGTGCGTGTTTCTGTGAGCCGTATAGTCGCCCACCCGGCGGGAGGCGGCACGGCCCTCTCCGTTACAACATCAATTTCGGACTCCGCCCTGTCTGGGCGGGGCATGTCCGGTATCGTCTTGTGCGAGCCCTGGGGATGGGGGGAGACTACCCGCGGGCCTAGAAGGCCCGCGCGCAGAGGGGTGGGACATTGAGACCGGTTACACACACAGCGGGCTGCAGAGAGAGCCGTGTACGTACTTTTAGCTTACTGGGAGAAAAGGGAGAGGGGGTTGTGTTCTCTAGGCCCCTAAGGGTAAAGGGCCCTGCGCGCGGCGTGAGCGCTTCGTGTATGACCCTAGCAGACCCCCAGACGGAAGCCGATGCGTGACATGTGGCTCATGGGGCTCGCATGGGCTTATAAAACAATAAACTGACGAAGGAAGGGAGATACTCATCGTCCTGGCAAACCTGGGGGCTGGCCCCACGTCGCAGGAGGTGTGGTCGGCTTGGGCTGGCGAATCGCGGCTAGGGGCTAAAGCCGTAGCATCTAGCAAAGGGGAAGAGAACGAAACCTCTCTTCAGCGCGCTCGACCAGTGCACCGTCTCGCCCAGATCAGGGTGCTTCGTCATTTGTTTATTTCTTTTTGCTCTTATAAGCCCACCGACCTTTGGGCCTCAGCTAGACCCCGTCTGGACGCACTCGCCGCCCCGCCCTCTCCGCCGCTCCGCCACGCCCTCTCGGATCGCCTCGCCCGAGCAGATGATCAGGCTGAGCCCGAGCGGCACGCGCAGCAGGCAGCGGAAGGCGGAGCCCTTGAAGAGGGCGGCGAGCCCCTCGTGCCGCAGGATGTGCAGCCTAGTCCATTAGTTGGGGAGTGAGCTAGTTAGCTAGGCGAGCCCCTTGTGCGCACGGGACGTGCAGCCTACCGCCAGGAACGCACGAGAGAGCAGAGTCAGGGGGCGGGAATGCGGTACCGTGCGGTGTGTTCGGAGCACCACGCGACGGCAGGGGCTTCGAGTGCTGAGAGGCGGCCGAATATACAGCCAGATGCAGCTGAGTGTTGTCCGCTCTGTGATATGCGGTATATCGCGGCTGTATCGGCTTTACCTCGGCTGCACCTCGGCTGTCTCTCTTCGGCTGCACCTCGGTTGCACCTCGGTTGCACCTCGGTTGCACCTCGGCTGCACCTCGGCTGCACCTCGGCTGTACCTCGGCTGTGCCTCGGCTGCACCTCGGCTGTACCTCGGCTGTGCCTCGGCTGTGCCTCGGCTGTGCCTCGGCTGTGCCTCGGCTGTGCCTCGGCTGTACCTCGGCTGTACCTCGGCTGTACCTCGGCTGTACCTCGGCTGTACCTCGGCTGTACCTCGGCTGTACCTCGGCTGTACCTCGGGTGTGCAGCATCTGGGGCGTGCGTGACCCGCTGCGTGAGTAGCTCGGGTAGGCGGAGAAGTGTGGCGAGCCGCGCAGATGCGTCTGCATCCGCGTCTTGATGACGTCGTCGGGGTGGCTCACCTGCGAGATTACCCGAGATTGACGCGAGGTCACGAGAGAGATGAGGCGGATCAAGTAAGTTGGCGGCCTCTGTGCGTAGTGCGAGCGCCGGGGCGCGCTAGTCTCGGCTGTATCTCTGCTCACCGCCGTGCAAGCGACGCCTCCGAGGACGGCGCCCGCCACCTGTGCAGACAGCCGCGAGCAGCCGAGGGTCGCAACCGCGGTGAGCAGAGATACAGCCGAGAGTAGCCGAGAGTAGCAAAGCGTAGCCGATATTAGACGGCCGAGATCCCTCCGAGATCCCTCCGAGATTCAGCCGAGAAATAGCCGAGCATGGCGCTCGCCACCTGCGCAGCGAGCCTCGGCCCGCCGTCGCCTCCCTCGCCGCCGCCCTCGCCTCCCTCGCCGCCGCCCTCGCCTCCAACGGCTCCCGCGCTTCGCGAGGCCGCCTCTGCAATCTTGCCTATCTCGGGTGATCTCGGGTGATCTCATTCAATCTCGGGTAGCAAGGCCGCCGCTGCAGTCTTGCCGCAGAGGAAGAATTGGCCCACGCAATACCTACATCATCACACTCGAGATCACACACCCGAGATCGCCCGAGATTGACCTCGAGATTCGCCGGGCGATGGGCTATGTTTGCTGTGTCGCTCCCATGTAGCGCCGCCTCTGCGCCTCGCTAGCGCAACCTGTCCTCTGTGTTTAGTGATCGCTCCAGTGTGCCGCCTCCCCGTCGCTAGCGGCCTCTTGAACGCCTGCTGTCCAATCGTGTGGCCGGACGGGTGTGTCGTCGCCTCTACGCATACCACTTGCTCTCGCGGTGCACGGTCGCAGTCATCCCTCGCGACCTAACCTCGCGCAATCCGCCGTCACCTCGTGCAGCCGCGCCGCGTGTCGCCGCAGTCATGCGCTGGCGACCAGGCGGCGGCGGCAGCGAGGAGGCCGCCGCCGCCGGCGGTGGCGGCGACGGCGCGGGAAGCGGAGAGGAGGCCGCCCATGCCTCGGTTCTGCCCTTGGATGCGGACCTGTCTCGGGCAATCTCGGGTACTCTCGGGGCATCTCGGGGAAATCTCGGCAACAGCCCCTGTTGCTCGGGCTGCTATCGACCGCTCTGAAGGACTGCCTGCTACTACTGTCTTCTACTACTGCTATGCAGACCATCTCGAGCGGAGAGAGGAAGAGCGACACCTGTCATGACGCGTGATCTCACGTCATCTCACGTCATCTCGTGTCATCTCGTGCCATCTTGAGCGGAGAGATGAAAGAGATGATATCGGGTGATGTCGCTCATCTAAGAGAGGCGATGCCTCCACACCGACGAGAGCGGCCGACACAAGCTCCCTTGCCGTCTCGGAGAGGCTACCACCGCAGGCCGAGAGGACGCGGCTGTTGAGAGCCTATGGCCTGGCGATCGACGCGTCCGTGGCGTGTCATAAATCGGCGAGACGGCGTCCCGGCGCTGCTCGCGTTGAGCCCAAACGCAAACGCCATGTAGGGCAGCTTGAGCGACAGGTTGGTGGTGAATCCGGCGTAGAGCGAGCGCAGCGCGGCGAGCGAGCCGGAGCCAGGCGGCAGTGGCCCGCCTCTCTGTAGGTCGAGGAGCAGCGGCAAGTTCGCCTGCGACCTCACCTTGAGCGTGTCGATCCAATGGAACGCGCAGCAGTCGAGCAGGCCAGTCGCTGCCCCGATGGCAAATTCTGTCGGCGGGTCGAGCAGCGGCGTTGGCATGGTGCGAGGGGGTGCAAGTCCTTTGGACGGTTGCGATGTTGCGATGTTGGTTAGTCCGAAGAGAAGAGCGGCAAAAACAATTTGCACTAGGCAAGTGCTCCAAGGCATCCGGCCCGCTGGGTGCGCTTCTTAGCTCCCCGGCCCTGGATGTGAGGCTAATGACTGCAGTCTGCACTCCAAGTGCTCCAAGTGTTACAAAAAGATGCTCGCCGACCCAACACGGGGCACGGCACTGGCACGCACATTCTGAGAAGCAAACCTCTCTACAGCACACTGGCACGACAAGGGCGTCTACCGCTCACATAAACGCACAACTCCGGACCCAAGTCTACCGCTCACCCTACCTATTACACTATTAGTACCCTAGCACACACACCGTCCAAGAATTCCCGACGACCTTTCGTGTCACGACCTGATGATAATGTGCTTGCTGTCACCCGAAGGGGCGACATGGTGGTCCCTCAATATAAGAGCACCGACCACTCAAGGAAGCAACCCGACGATCGGTGGGTAAAACAGACGACAAAGTACACGGTCGTCATGGAAGGACGCGCGCCATTTCGAGAAGGACCTACCTGCCAGCCGGCAGGACAACAACCCCAGCCCTCCGCCCACCAGACCACCACCCAACAACAAGCAGCGACCGCACTGACACGCGCCGGCCGCCTGACCACTCCCGACTCGCCTCCTCCGCCACAGCGACCGCACTGGCACGCGCCCGCCGCCTGACCACTCCCGGCTTGCCTCCTCCGCCGCAGTGGGTTGTCGCCATGGGTTGCAGCAGCTCAAAGGCCAACGCGGTGGAGGAGCCCGTCACAGGCCAGCGGGCGGTAAAGCAGGAGGCGGGAGGCGGCACCAATTTTCTGCACGAGGCGGTCATCATCCAGCCCACTGGAGCTCACACGCACACGGTCATCATGCTTCACGGGCTCGATGGGCACGGCCAAAACTTTAGCTCGAACCCGTGGTGGAAGGACGACCCATGGTTGTCGAAGAGTAGCACCGACCTCCCAAAGCTTGTCCACGGCCTCTGCCCGGATAAGGCGGGCGGCATCAAGTACATTTTCCCGACAGCGCCAGAGCGCGGCCAGTACTTCAAGGGGCCAGACGGCCCTGCGATCCGCACCAACCCCCCCTCTCCTCGATTTACCAATCGTGGTTGGTACACGTACTTTACCGACTTCGATGGACAGGCCTTTTCGGACGACGACGTCATCAGTCGCGACGAGTTCTACGCCACGGTCAAGCAGCTCGTCGACCTCTTTCAGCAGGAGGCGGAGGCGTTGGGCCCGTGCGGCGGGTGCAAGGTGATCATCGGCGGATACAGCCAAGGCGGCACCATTGCGGCGTCGGCCGCGATCCAGTTGGACCCAGTCTTCCGGAAGCAGCACGGGACTCCCAAGGCCCTGATCGCCATCGACACGCTGCCGATGGCTTTTGCGCAGGTGAATCTCAACCTGCACGAGCTGATGCCAACCTCTCAGGTGCCGGACGGCGTGCCGGAGGTGACCGATTTTAACGCCAAGATCCCGGTCTTCCACTTTGTGGGTTCCGAAGACACAATCTACCCGGTGACGAACCAGCACAAGGCGTGGGCACGCTTCACGGAGGCGGGCTACACTGTGACGCCGCACGAGGAGAAGGGCGTGACGCACGAGGAGGCGCTTCAGAAGGGGGGGCTCGCGTACACAGCGGCGTGGATCACGCAGCTCTTCTTCCAGTAAGTAGTAGAGAAAAGCAATCACGTGTTCACCCGAGCTCGTCATATGAAATGAAGCGTTTCTCCCCACTCTCTGTATGTGCCCTGCTACTGCTGCTGCTGCTACCTCCGGTCCACACGGGTACTCCCGTGCTAGGACAACAAGGCCCCACGGTACACGGCGTCTCCACACTCTCTGTGCCCTGCGACACGCAAGAATTTTTCGTACGATATGTACAATGTAGTCCCTCCAAACTCCACAACTAGACGCGAGACATGACCGGAAAAGCATACCGACCTGAAAACAATGGTTGGGTAGTAGGGCTAGAGGGTCGCTCTACACTTAGCCTCTGCAGCGAGCGAGCGCTCAACTTAGCCCCCGCACGGAGCCGGGCTCAGACTTAGACGCTGTATGTCGGGGGGCCTGATAGAACATGACGACATAAGGCCAACTCCGGGTAAAACCCGGGTATACCTGCAAAAGTCCAGGTTTACCCGAAAAATGCCTGGACGCGTCCCACATATGCCGCGCACGCCTACTCCCAGGGCCAGTGCGCTACTTGCGGCGCGCACCGCCTGCTCAAGTACCCGCATCGTACCACGTGCTGCCGCTACGCGTGCAGAACGCGGCTGCGGCGCAGCGGCGAGCGCGGCTTGCCGACTGGCTGGAGATGAGGGTGGAGAGGAGGGCGAGGAGGGGGAGGACGGCGGCGGTTGAGGGGGCGAGACGGGTGGAGCGACCGTGAGAAGCGAGCGTGTCGTGTCGTGTCGTGTCGGTGCTGTTGGCGGTAAGCAGGCGGTCCGCGGGCACGTGACGAGTCCCCATTTCCCCAGGCCGTGCCACGGCAGACTTAGCCCGTGTAAGAGGCTCTCGCTGATCTTAGACCGCGCAAGCACCCCAGCGTGCCAGAGCACACTTAGACCCGCTAAGCCTCGAGGCTCAGAACTTAGACTACTACCCAACCAGTCTGAAAACAACACACCAAACAGAGCGCACACGGGTTCCACTCGAGCTCACGCGAGCTCCTCACTCGCCGAGTCCCCGCCCGCCTGGCGATCGAGCACGAGCAGCCGGATCTCTGCCGAGACGCGCCGTGCGCACGGCTGCCCCTCGAGCCAGACCGCGGTGTGCGGAGTCGCGGTGGTGGAGAAGAGGAGGCACTCACCAAAGGCCATGTGTGGCCGCCACAGCCATCGCACGCCCTCGTCCACGCCCTCTGCACGCAGCAGCGTCAGTGTGTCCGACAGCACGACGTTCGAGGTGTCGGGCGGGATCGTAAAGTTCACAGGCACAGTCGCGAGGGAGCCATCCCCGAGCGTGAGGGTGGAGGTGTCGGCGATGGCAAGCGGCGCTTGCTCCACGCCGCCGGGCGTGAGGGCTACCCAGATGTTGACCGCCGCCGCCGTGTCCGCGACGAGGCTGTAGGCAACCTCCTCCATGCTCAGACCCTCGTGCTCCCAGTCTGGCCCGTTGATGCGCCAGTACTCCGAGACAAACCTCTCTGCACCTGCGCGTGCGCCCGCCAGCCCCGCGCATGCTGCAATGCCGGGCAGAAATTTGTCAACGTGCGCCGCATAGTGCGCGTTCCGCGCCCCGGTCGTGCTGCCGGTGTCGCGCACTGTGGGCTCACCATACCCCGCCCTGCCGGAGACTCGGCTCGTGTCGCCGAGGTGAACGATGCGCTTGTGCGGCCCAAATCGCTGCTGGGCGGCGGCCATGAGAACGCGGCCGACGGTAAGCTTGTGTGCGCGACTGTTCACGTCGAAGCTCTCCTCCGTGATTCCCTCGGCGTTCAGCTCCTCCCTTACGTTGAGCAGTTCAACGCCGTTCGCCGCGAGTGTCTCAGCCGTTGAGATCGGACTCAGCGCGACGTATCGCTCCTCGAGCGCGTCGCCGCCGACAGAGAAGCCGAAGCGGTTTGCATCGATTTTGCATACCCCGTCGGTGCCGGTGTGAACGTGAGGGCGGGCTAGGTTGAGCCGAGCGTGTACCGTCCAACTCTGTGAGGTCATCGTGGCGGCCGTTCCCCCCGCCATCGAATGTCATCTGGTTGTCTCGGATGTTTCCGAGCGACCAGCTTTGCTTCCATGGCGACCTCAGAGACCAGGCCCAGAGCCCACTCCTGCCTCGGAGGCGTGACACATGGGCGCGTCGCGATCGCAGCTGCGTCGATTGCCTCAGCGGTCGCTGGCTCGCTGGTGCCGCTGCAGGCGGACATCAACGCAGAGCTTGCCACCGCGCTCGACAATCCTGTCGCCTCGGCGGCGGTCAGCACCATTCTCAGCGGCGTGCTGCTGTCGTTTGCGAGCGTGCGAAGCTGCGGTGCCCTGAAGCTTGACGGCTTGAAACCGTGGCACCTGAGCGGAGGAGTGTTCGGAGCGGTGTATGTGCTCGCACTGGTAGTCCTCACCGAGCCGCTCGGGCCTGCGACCCTCTTTGTCGCGGCTGAAGCAGGCTCGATGGCCGTCGCAGCGATACTCGACCACGTCGGCTTCGCAGGAGCAGCGACGCGCCGCCTCACGCAGCGTCGGGCCGCGGGCGTTCTCCTGCCCGTCCTTGGATGTGTCGTCCTTGAGGCGCCCGCTGTCTCCGCTGCAGCAGGCGCCAGCGGCGCGAAACGGCTGCGACTAGCAGCTCTCAGCTTTGCGGCTGGTGGCTGCAAGCCTCTGCAAGCGTCGCTCAACCGGCGGCTAAAGATGGTCATGGGCTCCACCGAAGTCGCGGCCGTCACGAGCTGTGCCGTCGGAGGCTGTGCTTTGGTGGCCATGCTCATGCTGGACGTCACGATTCGAAAAGCCACGCCCGCTCCAGACTGGGTGCCCATCCCTGACGAGTGGCCGGCTTGGTGGCAGTGGAGTGGCGGATTACTCGGAATCGTCGGCGTCGTCGTGCCCGTCCTGGCCTCTGAGGTCTTCGGCATGGCGGTTTATTTTGTGTGTAACCTCTTTGGGCAGCTTTCGGCCGCGGTCGCGCTGCAATTTGTGTCCGGGCGTGAGGCCGTGACGCAGGGGCTAGTCGCAAGGATGTGTGGCGCAGTTGTTCTTGGCTTGCTCGGGGGCCTGCTCGTTCAGGACCTGCAGCTGGGCGCGTGCGCCTCAGCTCCAGACTGCATGCGGCGCAAGGGCGGCGCTCGCATTCTCGTATGAGCTTGCCTTCAGTCTTGCTCCATGCTGTATACATTTACGCCATGTTGACTAAGGGCGTCCCATTGATACGACACATGCATGTGTCGACGGTCTGTTGTTACCGTCTCCGCGAACGTGTCAGTGGCAGAAAGAAAACAGAACCAGGGATTTGGAGCACTTGGAGTACGGTCAACACCTCACATCCAGGGCCGGGGAGCGCTGAAGGTAGGGAGAGATAAAAAAGGTAGGGAGGGTGGTACCTTTTGTGAAACTGAAACGCGGAACGCGATCTGTCTCGCGTTCCTCAACGCTTGCGATTCAGCTGTCGCGCCGCTGGATGATCTTACTCAGCTCGCCGAGCTCGACCTGAACGCTCAGCGGCGCGACCGCTGAATCGCAGCCGTTCGTGCTGCACGCACGCCGTGTCGATCCGGGTTTTTTTCCTCGCTGTTCTGCCTGCCCATGGTCGCCAGGTCGGCCGCCACGGTGGCCACAACTCGCGTGAGCAACTCGCGTGCGCAGCCATGTGCAAGCCACGCCTGCGCACGCTGCTCGCCGGCCCAAGCCTCCGGCAAGAGGTCCGCGCCCAGCTCTGCATCGGCCTTCCTGTCGCCTTCTCCGCCGTCCTCCGCCGGACCATGACTGTCGTCACCGTCGCCTTCGTCGGCCGGCTTGGCAAGCAGGCGCTTGCGGCGGCTGCGCTGGCCCAGTCCGCCACAAACACCGTCGCGCTCTCCGTCTTTGTTGGCCTCTCGTCCGCCTCGGTCACGCTCGTCTCGCAGGCAGTGGGCGCTCGCGAGGAGCGGCGGGCTGCGCTCTGGCTGCATCACGCGGTGGTGGTGCACTGCCTCGCGGCGGTGCCGCTCACGCTCCTCCTCCTCTTCTTTGGACCGCTGATGCGGGCGGTCGGCGAGGACGGCGAGCTGTCCGCTCTCGCAGGCAAGTATGCGCAGCTTCTTCTCCCGGGCCTCTGGGGCTGGGCGCTGCTGTGGGCGCTCCAGCCGTGGCTCCAGTGCCATGGCGTCGTCCGAGTGCAGACCCTCACCGCGGGCCTCACCGCCGCGCTCCACCCCTGCCTCCTCGCCCTCCTCACCCGCCGGCTCGGCCTGCGCGGCGCGGCCCTCGCCGAGTCGATCTCCAACTGCGTCAGCTTCCTGCTCCTCCTGCTCGCCGCCGGCTGCACGCCGCTGCGACGAGCGCTCCCGTGGGCCAGGCCGAGCCGGGCAACCGTGCATCTGCGGAAGCACACCTCACCAGACCCTCCAGCCTCTAAAGTGGGGGCCCGGTCTCACAGGCGTCGGTCGCGCGGCTGCTCGACTTTCTACGGCTCGGCCTGCCGGGCGCGTGCGGTGATGGCGCGCGAGCGGTGGGGCGGCGGAGGTTGCGCTTCACAGCTGTCGTTGTCGGCAGGCGTGGTGATGATGCTCGAGTGGTGGGCGTCGGAGATCTGCATACTCGCCTCGGGGCTGCTGCCCGCGCCCGCCCTCGCCCTCTCCTCGCTCTCCATCTACCAGTCGGTCAACGCCGTCGCCTTCATGCTGCCGCTCGGCGCGTCCGTCGCCGGTGCGACGCCCCGGCCCGAGAGAGCTGTCGCCGCGAGATCGCCGCGAGAACGCCGCGAGAACGCCCCGAGATCGCATCGAGATCGCACCGAGATCGCACCGAGATCGCACCGAGATCGCACCGAAATCGCACCGAGATCGCACCGAGATCGCACCGTGCAGAGGCCCGCACGCCCCTCACGCCATCTCCCCCTTTCCGCAGGTTAATTTAATTAAATTAATAATTAAATTAATCTCCCCCTTTCCGCAGGCGCGACGCGTGTCGGCGCCGCCCTGGGTCGGGCCGACCACGAGGGTGCCTGATGCGCGGCAACGACTGGCCAGGACACGTCCATGACGTGTCCGAGACATGTCCCACAGGCGCCCGATGCGCGGCGGCGACGTGCGGCTCGCTCGGCGTCTGCTTTGGCGCAGCCGCCGGGCTGCTGCTGCTGCTCTTGCGGCGCGGGGTCGGCAGTCTCTTCACACAGGACGAGGAGGTATTCTCACACAACGACACATCGCACCCAGCATCGCACGCGCGCTAGGACGGACAGTCAACGACGGACACACGGCGACACACGGCGACACACGGATGCGGCAGCCACACCAAGTGCTTGCCCTCTCACCACCCAGAGGCTGGTACTCTCTCATCACCACTACGTCCAAGTGAGGTAGGTTGTCTCGCTCGTCGGCGCGCTCCTTCTCCCGCTCTCTGTCTACGTCCTCGCCGATGCGACGCAGGCCTGCCAAAGTTAGAACTGGTACATTCATCCATGATTGGTAGTCATGAATAGCCGACGCGACGCAGGCTTGCTCCACCCCTCTGCCCCTCCCCGCTGCCCCGCCCCGCGTCTCCCGTCTCGCCTCTCCAGTCCTCCCGCGTCCGCACTCCTCTCGCCTCTCGATTTGCGCCGCAGGTCGAGGAGTAGCAAGCGGCTGCATCAAGCCACTCGCCCCCCTCACCATGTCGGCTCGGCAGGTTTGCTGCTCCGGCGTGCTCCAGGGATGTGGCCGGCAGCGGCTCGGCATGCCGGTCGTCCTCGCGTGCTACTACGCCGTCGGCCTTCCCCTCGGAGGCGCCCTCGCCTTCACAGCTGGCTGGGGCGCGCGCGGGATGGTGCTGGGCATGTGTGCGGGCAAGCCTGCTGCACGCCGCGACGAGCGTTCAAAAAGGACGCCACGAACCAGCAGGATCAAAGCTGCTCTGTAGGCAAGTTGCTGCACGCCACCGCGCTCGTCGTCCTCGTCAGCCGGACCGATTGGCGGCGCGAGGTGCGAGAGGCCGCGGCCAGGCTGCAGGGCGAGGGCGAGGACCGGCCGGTGGAGCTGGCTCCGGCGCCGGGAGTCGACGAGGATGGCGGCCGAGAGGGCGGCGGGGCGGCAGAGATGCAGGAGGGGCGGGAGGCCGAGAGCGGTCGCGCAGCGCTTATTGGACGAGCGCCGCCCGACGGAGAGAGCGCGAAGGTGTGAGAGAGAGAGACCGCACGTGCGCGTTCAACATTATCGTTCTAGGGACATTGGGGATTGGGCGCACCCACACACTCAACTCGCATTGCTAAACAAAGAAAGGCGCATCTGTGCATGTACTACACTACCTCTATCGAACTTTACCTATAGCCCACTTGGCCATGGTGGATGGTGCATGGAGAGAAGAGAGACTCTAACTAATAAGGGAGGGCTGCGCAACCCTAGGCTCTAGTACGCCTAGGGCGGACAGAATGTTTTCAAAAAATCTTTTGGGTTCCTGTGTTAGCGCCAGTGCGTGCCAGTCCCTGACCCAACCGTAAATCTTCTTCGAACGCGGGGGTATCGAACGCGGCTGGCTCCATCCACATCCACCCCTCCGACCGGCAGGTAAGCATCGTGCGCCAGCCCTGCTGGGTGGGCGGGCCGATGGAGACCCCAAACGTCAGGCAGGTAGCTCAGTCCATGGAGGTTTGTCGCCGCCGCCGCAATCACCACCGCCGCACTCACACCGCTCCTATCGTCACCACAGCCGCACTCACACCGCTCAACACAACCTACCGCTCCGCTCCGGCTACCCCACCTCAGGCCAAGTACGCATCACCACGCTCGCTCAACGGCAAGGGCGCACCGCCTACTGCGCGGGGCGGCAATGGCGTGGCCGAGCTGCTAGCAGAGCCAGTGCTCGATCGCGAGCGGTTGCTGAACGACACGGTGAACACCGGCGTCATGGCGGCGCTCATTGGCGGCTTTGCGCTCTCGACGATGCAGATGGGGATGGTTGTCCCCGGCGAGGCGGCGGAGCAGCTCACCGTGGTCATCTACATGCTCTCCGTTGTCTCGGTGAGACACGGCAGAGATAGCGCACTTGCGCACACGGCACGCATGCACGCACGGCAATCGTGAGAGCATCAGCGCCACTGCCCGCAGGTGCACATGTGCACGTGCTCGAGCCTCTCCAGTGCCTTCCTCTACCGCCAGATCAACGCACTCGGCGACGATGCGGCCTGCGTGTGGGCTGCGAGGCGTCCGCAACACCCCCCCCACCCCTCCCACCCCTTCCACCCCTCGCACCCCTCGCACCCCTCGCGTCACCGGCCGGCCCGGCCTCTGACCCGCCTCGCCTCTCGCACCTCCAGAGACGCGAGGGCTGCCCCTCGCCCAGCCACCTCGTGAGTGTGTGTGGAGAGACATTAACATCAGCCCAGCTCCCCCGACCTCTCTCTCTTTCTCTCGTCTCTCTCTCTCCTCTCTCTCTCTCTCTCTCTCTCTCTCTCTCTCTCTCTCTCTCTCTCTCTCTCTCTCTCTCTCTCTCTCTCTCTCTCTCTCTCTCTCTCTCTCTCTCTCTCTCTCTCTCTCTCTCTCTCCGCGCGCGCAGGCACCCGCTGCTGCTCTCTCTCCCGATGAGCAAGTTCGCCGTCGGCTGCATGCTCTACCTCTCCTCGGCGCTCCGCCTCTCACTCCACGACCTCAAGGCTGCCCGAGGTCACCCGAGATCACCCGCGATCCTACACTTGTAGGTCCTCTGCCTCTCCTTTTACGACCTGCAGGAGGAGCCGCGCGCGCAGCGCGCGATGCTCGCTGTTGGCTGCGGCAGCCTCTCGATGGTTGCGATCACGGCTGTCGTGATTGCGCGCTGCTGAGCCGCGGCGTCGAAGGCGTCGAAGGCGCGGCTAGCGCGCCGGCGGCGCGCGATGCATGGTGGCGGAGGAGCGTTGCAGCCCGAGCGCAACGGTCCACCCGTAGGCTCAGGCGCCTGTTTCACACCCGGTCGCACACACACAAGAAACACACATATATGTATACACAAATGGGAAATGTCAAAACTGTCTGAGTTGTTTGGTATTGCTAAAAATCTCTCAGCAAATGGGTCGCACGCACACAAGGGAGGAGATGGGCTTCCACCCCCTGGATCCAGGCGTGGAGGGACGGCGAGATACGGCGAAAGGACTTGCCGGAGGAGGTGGTGGGCTCGGCTGGTGGCTATGGCTTTGGACCTTTGCGAGAGGTGGCGAGCGGAGCAAGAGCGGTGTAGGCGCGTCCACGCGGCGCAGCGGCGCAGCGGCTCTCCCGCGACCCCGGCCCCTCTCGTAGCCGCAGCCGTAGCCTCAGCCCCAACTCTTGCCGCTCTTCCGTGTCGGGTTGTGACGAGGGGTGAGGGGACACGGATTGAAGATCCCTCACACCAAGATCGTGCAGGGCGGGGACACATAAATCCCATCTCGTACCTAAAAGATTTTTTTCGCCAAAACAATTGCATAAATAAATAAATAAAACGGACACACCAAACAAGGGGTGGGAGAAAGGACAGGGTCCTCCCCACCTGCGCGAGCAGGATCTTGTAAGGACGATCAGGGACACAGGGGAACGGGAGCGGGGAGCGCATCGCGACACGGAGGGGGGGGCTGGGCAGGGCTCACCCACACACGACAGGGTCCCAGGGATTCCCCTCTCGTATAGGACAAAGTTGCACCCGGCGGCACGGGGGCAGGCGCGGCGCGCGGGCCTCCTACTGGTTGCGCTCTCCTAGTTCTCCTGCTCCTGACAAGGGACAGCGACAGGTTCGCAGCACGGTGGACTCCCTATTCCACTGGCGATCTCTCTCGACTAGCGACCTTCCTCCGGCTTCTCACTGGCAGTCTCTCACTATAAACAATTGCCAAATCGTTTGCCCCCGATTTTTTCTTTTTGCATCCTGAGATTGACGAGGGCCAACCGGCCGCCAAAGGGCGCCAAAGGGTGCCAAAGTAGGAAGGAGCTGGCGACGATGGTTGAAAGAAGAACCGTCTGCAGCACAGAAGCTCGCCACACACACACACACACTCGCCTAAAAGATTTTTTGCACCAAAAGAATTGCCGAATCCCCTTGGAGCACTTGGAGTGCAGTCGGTAACCTCACACGCCGGCTGATTTTTTTCTTTTTGCACGCTGAGATTTCAGCGTTTAGGAGGGGCCAGCCGCCTTGTTTTCCCTCGGCCGGCGGACTTGGAACAAGGTGGGACGAAGCTCGCCCACCGCTCAAGACGCACGAACAACCCGCTAGGAGAGCGGCCGCCCCCGCCACGTAGAATCTCCCCTCACCGCCGCAGCTCGGCGCCCGGAAAAGAGCAGGGCGCGCGCCGGCCGGCGGTTCTTGCACCCCGGGAGAGAGGCGCACAGTTCTGGCCATCGGGGAGTGTTGCGACTCGCGCCTTCGAGGAGCCACGCCTTCGATCCACCGCGGCTGTGTTCCCGGCCACCCCCTTCTGCTCATCTGTTCGTCCTGATCTGACACCTGCGTGCGCCCTCGCGCGCAGATCCAACCTCCTCAGAGTGCCTATGTGTAAGGGTGCCACGGGAGTCACCAAGAAGAAATTGCCGCCCGTGCCGCGAGAGGTCGCCCGAAAGTACGCGGTACAGCGTCGAGGCGAGGGTAAATACCAAGAGTTGCTCCCGCAAGAAGACTACGAGGAAGAGCCGGCGGGGAAGCACGAGCTGGAGCCGGCGGGGAACGCCGAGGCCCGAACGGCGGCGGAGAAAGAGCCGGCGGGCTCGCCACCGTCGAAGCCACCGTCTACGCCACCATGGAACTGTGCGTGGCGATCCCCCGCCACCCCGCGGCCCGGGCGGTGGCGCCGCGTCTGCCACCAACACTCACCCCCCTAAGGCTACCCCCGCGCGTGGCAGGCATTCTGCTCGCCATCAGGGCACACGCAAAGAAGCCGCTCGCGCAGGAGCAAACCCCGACCGTGTCGACAGGGATCATCACTGCGGGGGCATTCGACGACAGTGGCAACTCGCTCATCCGCAAGGCTGAGGCGCAGCGCGCCGAAGGGTCGCTGCGCACGCCGAACCTCTCGCCTCATGCGAAGCATGCACGTCCTAGGAGTGCGGCCAACTCGCCCAGCGCGTCACCAGCCCCGAGACGGCTCGACGGGTGAGCCGCGTGCAAGAGCGGGCCACCAAGGCCACCCAGCGGGCCGAGGCGAGGGTGGAGCGGCTTCTCGCGAGGGTGCAGGCGCGGGTGGATGCGATCAGCGGCTCGGAGCCGGTGTCGGAGAAGGACGACCCTCTTCTGCACCATCCACTCCTCGCGAGGCGCCGCACATTGGGCCCTCGCGCCCCCCCCCCCCCCCAGAAGAGGGTCGTTCTTCGTCGACATGGGCTGGCAGCATGGGTTCTACTCCTCCCCCTTCGCCGCTGTATTATCCTCCTAACATCCCGCCGACGGTGGGGTCGTCAATTGAACCCCTTTTTTGCGGGTAACCCCTCTAAACCCC